TGAATTGACCTTTTGGCCTAGCTAGTTTGCACATGCTAAGCCAGAAGGTGATGATTCTTCTGCTTGAGTCTAAAGTGTTGTGCTTATTCCATTAGTTGTGTTTATTCAAGAAAGCAGAATCCTCTGTACCTTGTGACCCTGGTCAGCAAGTTTCAGCTTGATGGGATCAAAGCATCCTCACTTCCCAAACAGGCTCCTAGTAACTGATTAAAACAGAATGGAATCAGTCTGAAACAATTAACTGCAGGACATTTGAACATTATGGACCATAGTCTACTTCATTGGTTGAGGAGAGGTTGGTGAATAAATGCTTTCTGACTTCCCAGACTGAGGCTGAGTTCTCCAGCCGGCCAGCCAGCTTCAGTGCTAAAGGACAACTGGAAATTGGGTTTCCCCTGTTCTTAGCCCAGCACCTTAACATTCGTTTTCATTAATTAAAAGAGTGACAGAAATGCCAGAGATCCTGAAACTCTGGCTCTCTTACGAGGAAACTGTAACAAGTGAGATGGGCAGTGTATACATTTAATAAATAAATAAAAATAAAGGCTAATTTTTAAATTACGTTATTACACTGATGTATCATACTGAACTCTGACCATCTCTTGTGGGAATGATAGGTTTTGCAGTTCAACATCACTAGAGTTACATGGGGGATGCCCTTAGGAACTTGGAAAGAAGAAAATGAGTGTGTGCTATATATACCGATCCAGTGCATGCCTACTTGAAAGAAAGGCCCATTGAATACAGCAGTGTTTCCCAAACTTGACAATTTTAAGGCATGAGGACTTCAACTCCCAGAATTCCACAGCCAGCTGGCTGTGGAATTCTGGGAGTTGAAGTCCTCATGCCTTAAAATTGTCAAGTTTGGGAAACACTGGAATACAGTATGATTTATTCCCAGGCAAGAGTGGAAGGTTGTCAGCCTAGGAATCTTCTGTTCTTCCTATGTGTTCCCAGATTCCCTTAATCCCTTCAAGTTGAATTCATTTGCATTACGGGTAGTCCTCTAATTACGACTACAACTGAGCCCAAAGTTTCTGTGGCTAAGTGAGACAGTTAAGTGAATTTTGCCAATTTTCACCTTTCTTGCCACTGCGGTTAAGTGAATCCCTGCAGTTGTTAAGTGAGTAACCTGGCTGTTAAGTGAATCTGGCTTCCCCCGTTGACTTTGCCTTGTCCAGAAGGTGGCAAAAGGCGATCACATGACCCCCAGGACATTGCAACCCTTATAAATATGAATCGGTTGCCAAGTGTCCAAATTTCGATCCCATGGCCATGGGGACGCTGCAACAGTCATAAGTGTGAAATACGGTCATACATTACTTTTTTTCGGTGCCATTGTTACTTCGAATGGTCACTAAATGAATGGTTGTTCTTTGAGGACCACCTGCATACAGTTGGCTAACCTTCTGCTATCTCTCCACTTCAATAAAGACCGATCCAGACTCGACTGAGTTCACACATTTCATCAAACCAAAAAGCGCCGGGTTGGGGTTGGGCAAAGCCTATTGTTTTAAACCACCATGGTGGTTTGCAAAGCAACCCTTTGCATGGGTGAAACCAGATGTTCTCTTCCATCCTGATACTCCCCAAGAAGTCCATGAGTAAAAATATGGCCAGGTTTACAACTTTATCAAATTATGGACTGGCCAACCTACTGAAAGCTAGGAGGCTCTTCTGTGGAGCTGCAAAGAGAATGGTCTGCAGCTTCAGTCTGCAGTTGAAATGCACTTCTGATTGTGGGTTCCAGTGGGTGTTTGTCAACTGGAGACATTTGCACGACTTCTTAAGCATCTTAGAAGAAGTGGAATTATGCTGATGAACAGTGGTTATAAAAATAATGATGACAACAACAGGAACAAGAATTTCATCCTTTGGCTCCTTTGATGAAGACTTGTCCAATTGCAATCTCACAGTATGGAAGCCCCACAAGATGAGATGTAATTTACAGAAACCCATATTGGATCAGCCATTGCCCAGGTCAACAAGAATCACATCAGATGTTGAAGTTCCTAAATATCTGGTGACAAGTAGGCTTCAGAACTCAGGACTGTTGGCCTGGCAGTTGAGGTCAGCAATTGCAGAACTACTGGAAGAAAAGTTGCTTATCCATCAAAATATACAAAGATTGGGGGGGGGGACAACAAATAATGATTTGCTATTACAACAGAGGAACTAAAGAGCCTCTTGATGTGGGTGAAGGAGAGTGCAAAAGTTGGCTTGAAACTCAACATTAAGAAAACCAAGATCATGGCATCCAGCCCTCTCAATTCCTGGCAAATAGATGGGGAAGAAATGGAGGTAGTAACAGATTTTATCTTCCTGGGCTCCAAGATCACTGTAGATGGGTACTGCAGCCAAGAAATTAAAAGATGCTTGCTCCTGGGGAGGAAAGCTATGGCAAATCTAGACAGCATACTAAAAAGCAGAGACATCACCCTGCCAACAAAAGTACGTATAGTCAGGGCCATGGTTTTCCCAGTTGCAATGTATGGCTGTGAAAGTTGGACCATAATAAAGGCTGAGCGCCAAAGAATTGAGGCCTTTGAACTATGGTGCTGGAGAAGACTGCTGCAAGTCCCCTGGACTGCAAGGCGATCAAACCGGTCACCTCTGGAGGAGATCAACGCTGACTGCTCTTTAGAAGGCCAGATCCTGTAGTTGAAACTCAAGTACTTTGGCCACCTAATGAGAAGGAAAGACTCACTGGAGAATTGCCTAATGCTGGGAAAGATTGAGGGCAATAGAAGAAGGGGACAACAGAGAATGAGGTGGCTGGATAGAGTCACTGAAGTAGTCAACTTTGTCGACTTCGCAACTAACAACAACAAATTACAAATCAAGTCCAGTGATAAGAGGATACCTGAAAAAATGTGCCAGTTCTAGAAAGAACAACATTCTGAATAAAAAAGATAATAGAGGATAGCATATCTATATCAATGTATTGTATAATATGAAACAAAGTATTCACAGAAGCAGAATTGGAAGAACTGCAAAGAACTACCCAGGGCAAATAAATCAGCAGTAGAGGAAGCCAGCATAGCTATTGAATCATTTTTAATCTCAAATCAGGCCCTCTATTCTACCTACTTCTCAGAAAAAACAAAGCCCTCTAATAACAAACAAGAGGAATTGAAACAAAGAATAATTGAGTGTCTAGAACAGCACAAAGACAACAGAATAAGATTGCCTGCATTGAAGCTTGTTCCAAAAAAGTAGCTAGCACAAATATTAAAAGAAGCCAATACTGTAATATCAAATATAAGTACCAGCTCATTGCAAGAAACAAACCAATTTATGTACAGCATGGCTGCAGTTACAATTAATGGTTCTTGCTTAGTAACCAATGAAGTTACAACACACTCTGCAGAGTTACTTATGATCCATTTGGAAGTTCCAATGGTTGCATCACACACCTCCTGTAGTCACATGATTGCATTCTGAGTGGTCAGCAACTAACTTGTATATACAGCTGTTTGCAGCATCCTACCATCACATGACTTTGATATTCTGAATTTTTTGCCAGTTTCTGACATGTACTTCAAGTTTCCAGCAAAAAAAAAAGTCCATTGGGGGAAAACTGACTCATTTAATGAGTGCTGGAGAAAAGTTCATAAAATTGGGCACGGTCACATAGTGACCTGCTTAATAACAGCCGTGACTAATGATCATAATTCTTGGCTCAATTATAGGTAGTATTTGACTTACAGCCATTCATTTACTGATTGTTTGAAATTACAATGGCACTGAAAAAAAATGACTGATGACCATATTTCACACAATCACTGCAGCCCCCCCTATGGTCACATGATTAAAATCTGTGCGGTTGGCCATTTTCATACATTTATGGCAGTTGCAATATCTAGAGGTCATGTGATGGTCTTTTGCTACCTTCTGACAAGCAAAGTCAACGAGGAAACCAGATTCACTTAACAGCCATGCTACTAACTTTAAACAAGGGCAGTGATTCACTCAACAACTGTGGAAAGAAAAGTTGCAAAATGGGACAAAGCCAATTTAATAATTGCCTCGCTTAGCAACATTTTGCCTTTCTTATCAACGACTGTTAAGTCTGAGGAGTTATTGGCAGGTGGTTGCCTGTTTGAATTCTAACGTCCCAGAGCTCTTGGCTTCTGTATTTTCTATTACTTTGTCTACTTTTTGGGTCCCACCAGTTCTTGCTTACAGGCAAAGGGTATTTCTTGCAGATATTCCAATGCACTGTGGTTGCTGCTTTGTCATCACGCTGTTTGTAGCCACATTTGTGAACATCTTGCAGCAATTAACTAGAATTGGGACCCAAATAAGTTGGCAGAGCCAGGTCTTCAGACATTTCCAGAAGACCAGGAGGAAGGGGGGGGAGGCTGCCTCACCTTTTGGGGTGGGCAGAATGCTCCAAAGGGTGGGGGCAACCTCAGAGAAGGCTCCCTTCCTGGACCCCCCACCACCGCCAGTCGAAATTCCTTAACAATCCAGATTGTTTGTTTGCTGGTTAAACAGGCAAATATTTATGGGATTGGGAAGAAGGGGGATTCATAAGCATCTAAGTCAGAGGTTCTCAACCTTGGCAACTTTAAGACTTGTGGACTTTTAACTCCCAGAATTCCTCAGCAAAGCTGGCTGAGGAATTCTGGGAATTAAAAGTCCACAAGTCTTAAAGTTGCCAAGGTTGAGAACCCTTGATCTAAGTTGACCTGCGGGTGGCTGGGGAGAGCTCAGTTTTTACACCACCCGCAAAGAGGACACATGCTCTTGCAAAGAGCAGCCTTGCTGCAGTCTCCTGAGTTGCAAAAAAAAAGCGAGGGTGGGGGTGGATGGCGGGAAAGAGGGCACTCTTCGACTTTCGCCGTCACAGCCCCTCCCCTCCCCTCCCCTCCAAAAAAAAAAAAAAAAAACCTCCACGGTTACTATCCCTGCTTCCTTTCTAAAGGCGTGGATGTAAGTGTTCAGCCAATCAGATTCGCCGGGGGCAAAAATCCGGGGCGGCGGTTGGGGGAAGGTGCTGAGGGAGAGGGGGCAGCAGATCGGCAACCTGCAGAATGAATCGGTCCGACCGGCTAAGCCGAGCAGCCGCGGAAGGCAACGTGGCCGAACTGCGAAGGCTGCTGGACGAGGGCGCCGACCCCAATGGGCTGAACGCGTACGGCAGGAGCGCGATTCAGGTAGAAGGGCGCGCAGCCTGGACGGGGCGCTCGGTCCTCGCTTCGGCTGTTCTTGGGGTGGGGGAGGGCGGGGGGGGGCGCTTCCCGTTTCCTCCGGAGGGTGTCTTCACCGAAGGGAGGCAAGGCTCGAGTGTGCGCGGACGGGGAAGCTTTTTTTTTTTTTTTTTTGGAAACGTCGATAAAGAGAAAATGGACGAGAGAAAATGGTGAGAGAAAATGGATACCAGCCATAACGGGGCTTGGCAATGAACGTCGGCCAAGGGCAATTGCGCAGCCCTCTCGCTCTAAGAGCGCCCGAGCGCCTCTCGGTCGGAACCTGGACGGGGCTTGAGGAATGTGGGTAGATCTCGCTTCCCGTTGCTTTAAGGAAGAGGGGCCCTACACTTAAAAGCTGGGAAGGAACCGTCGTCTGAACAACGTTAGGCTTTCAGCGGTCTATTTCTCTCTCCCCTTCGCCCCTTCAAGCTTCCTGCCCCTACTTCCAAGGTTGGGAAGCCAGAGGGAAGAAAAACGAGCCCCAAAAGACTTCTCGGTGGATAACACGACGCCGTTATTCCTCTGAAGCAATTCCATTTCTACACACACACACACACACACACCTATTTTTATTTTTTATTTTTTGCAACGCGGGCACGACTCTCCCGTACTTCCACTTTGCGTGGGTTTTCCTCGTGGGATTTAAAACTCTGTCAGATCTTTGCAGGGAAAACCTGCTTCGCTGCGCCTCCAACAAACAAACAAATCGCCTTGCAATAAATAAAGCAAAAAAGCGACTTGGTCGTTTGACACGTGCAGCAACTTTTCGTTCTTCGCTGAAGTTCCAGTAATTTTCTTAAAAGGGGGTGTGGGGACAGGACGCCCCGGAAGACGTGAGCTTGGCTATGTTTGGGGTTTAAAATTAGTGGGAAACCAGAATTCCCCCAAAATTAGAAATATCAGTCCTCAAAAGAAAAAAAAAAAGAAATACAGTGAAAAATAGCTGCTTTTCCTCACGGTGCTGCATGCCTGCATTTTAATTCCCGTTATATATTTGTTACTTTTGTTGTTGTTCAGTTGCTGACACTTCTGCTTTTGCCCAAGCTCTACTTTCCTTTTTGAGCAGCGTTCAAGTGCAAGTATCGTGCAAGTCAGGATGGTGTGGAGAAACTCGAGGAGAGATGAGTTTGGGTAGAAACAATGCCAATTTAATTTCCTGGTATTTTTGGAAAGTGGCCAAAATCCTTCAAATGTAAAGCAGTGGATATCTTATATAGACGTCCGTTTCACGAGATTTAAGGAAAAGTGTGTGTGTGTGTGTGTTCACGCGCGTGCGTGTGTGGGGGGCGTTTCCAACCAACTACTTGTTCTGGCATTCCTTTGGGGTTTTTTTCCACGACAATTGTCCATGTATAAATATACACAGCATTTGAAAATTATGCGTGCACCATAATTCCTCCTATTTAGAGGGAGTGCTTGGATTTGAATAGAGCAGCTGTCAGTCAAGCCCCAAATGGGCACAGACAGGATTATCCTTCCGGCGCATCCTTGCAGGCTTTGTCCTGGGACGGGCCAGGATTACTTTAGCATTGCAAATTGTTGCTTCGAACAACTAACTTATTGCCTATTGGGAGATGGGCCGCAGCTCCCCTAATCCAGGACAATAAAAACATTGACTTGGTAGTCCAAAATATCATCAAGGTATTAGAGCCCAACGCTCTATCTGTTGGCTAAGAAGCAAGGCTTCCTATTTTGGGTCACTAAGGATAATGGTCTTGTGGTTATTGCCTTCCTGAACAAGTCATAGTATACAGTAGGTAATTCAAGTCGTAATGCCTAGTGGCTTCTTCCACACTGTCACATGCAGCCACAGCTTTAGTTTGGCCATAGCCCTAGGTTTTTTGTTTTTTTTTTTTTGGTGGTGGTGGTCTCCCATCCATGTACTATCTAATTTATTCCTACTTAGTCTTTTGAGGTCAGCCAAGGTTGGTTTGATGTTGCCTCTTGCCTACTGACACGGAGCAGAAATTCCCCCGGTTGAGGCGCACACATTAACCCGGCGCTGGAATCTCTTGCGACTCCGTCGTTGTGTTGTGATCCTTGCAGTAAGGGCTATGTGAGTGTGGGTCAGCGCCGAGAATATCTTATGGTCGAGCTCCTGCTCGGTTCTGGATTTTCTTGTTATTCCAAAGATCCTTCGGCCACAATTACGGATCTCTCCCCACCCCACCCCCCTCACCCCCGGTACTGGGAGAAGAGTAGAGACGCCGAAACTTCAAAATGAAGAACCGAGTCTAGGAAGGGGTTCGATTCGCAGTTGTCCCGGTTAAATCCATAATTTTTTGCCTACTTAAGCTTGAAATCGGCTACCCGAGGACAAGCCCAGTCCACGGGTGGAGGGGTCGACTGACAACACCTCTCTCTTCTTTCCCCCCGTCCAGGTGATGAAACTGGGCAACCCCAGAGTGGCCGAGCTGTTGTTGGAGAGAGGAGCGAATCCCAACCTGCCGGACCCTTCCACGGGCTCCCGGCCGGTCCACGACGCGGCCCGCGAAGGGTTTCTGGACACTTTGCAGGTGCTGATCTCCGGCGGAGCTCGCCTCGACCTGCCGAACCACTACGGCCGCCTCCCGCTTCAGGAGGCTGCAGAAAATGGGCAGAGCCACGTGGTCCATTTCCTCACCCAGCGACCGACGGACAACGCTTAGAAGCTGCTGGCCGGGGACTCCCCAGTCCAGCCCGGCGCGCTGATCCGCTGCATTGGCTCCTTTGCGTTTCCCTAAGTAGCTGGGGCAACATTTGAGGAGGGCGGGGGGGGTTGACGGCCTCTCCCTTTAAGCTGAGAGACGGCTTAAAAAAAAAAAACACGCCAGTGAGGTCAGTTCAATTAGTCAAAGGCAAATTAGTTCCGCTCCCCGAAAGGGAGTAATTAAATCAAACTTAACTGCAAGTTAGTTAGTGTCAAGATAGTCCATCGCAAGATAGTCAGGCTGAAGAAGAGGCCCTATCTTGAGTTTGTTGTCTGTTGACTTGAATAAGAAACCCGTCTTTCTTATCCAATAAATCTTTCATTTCCACTGCCGGCTGTCTTCTTCCTTCTTCTGTTTGATCCTATATTCCTCTCTGGGCTGCCCATGATTTCAAAAGAAATTTGGATTAAAAATGAAGGATGTCCAGTGTATAATCTTGGTTTTCTTGGGCAGAATCAAAGCAAAACACAAAGCAAGTGTGTGGATTTGCATCTGAGCACCGGAGACTTTTTTTATATAGATAAAAATTTTTATTATTTTTTTTTCATCAACATATATTAATTTTTCCAATCAACAAGTTGTCTGGAGTTTGCTATGCTAATACATGTTCAATTCCTAATCCTTCGTTCTCTTCTCTAACCAAGAATAAAATAAATTCCAAATTTGATAGTAGTCTGTATCTTCTTTATCTTTCAACCTCATAGTTAATCTGTCCATCTCTGCACATTCCAATATTTTCCTGATTATTTCTTCTTCTGATGGCAGTCCTTCATTCTTCCAGTATTGTGCAAAAATTATTCTCACTGCTGTAGTGATGTGTAAAATTAAATATAGTTTCTGCTTATTAGTCTTTTCAGGCATAATGCCTAGTAAAAAAATTTCAGGTTTAAAATCCACTTGTTCGCCTAATATTTTTTCTAACCACATATGTATATTTTTCCAATAGGCCTTTGCCTTACCACATGTCCACTAAATGTGGTAATACGTAGCACCGGAGATTTGACTGCAAGGTTGTAAACTATAATTATCTGAACCTTTAGATAATTCCCAGACAGATAAACAAGTCCCCATCATATTGTAACACTTTAATTCTGCATAACTCTGAAGGCAACTCCACTAAAATCCACTGTGTGTGTGTGCTTACACTTAACTAGGGTTACAGTTTTGTGCAGTTACATTAAAGACTGCACCTGATCAATACCTCAGTGTTGAACTTCTAAAATCTCGAGAATTCTCTTACAAATATGACATTAAAGGGCAATTCTACATAGGCTTAAGCCTCACTGGAAACAATATTTAAGTTTCCCAGACCTTAACTTAATTGTAGTTTACTGTATTCAACAGTAAACTGTATTCAATTTCTGAGTTTGTACAACGTAAAGCAGCATAAGTTAAATTGGTTGCCTAATTTGTAGTTCAGTAGATCAATATAATAAGAGATAACTATATCCCAGTAAATATTAATAAAACTTTAGTGACAAAATTGTAAATCTTGCAAAGCCATAATATTTGGGGGGGGGGTTTACTAATATCTTACTGTTGTTGTATCCCAATGGTATTGTCTTTATTGTGTTTTCAACTCTATTTTTTCTTATGCTTTGAGACTTTTTGACTGCTTTTCATAGAAGTAGGCTTAACAAACAAATGAGTGAGCCTTAACTTGCGCCACTTATATTGATCTTAATGTTTTCCCTGTATTCCAGAGGAGAGTCACAAGATATATAAAATTCATTAAACTTTGTAATTCATTCCCATGAGGATAAGTCAAGAATCCAGCAGTAGCTCAGGCAGACTATGGAGCTATAAAGGGGACAGTAAATATCATGTTAGGATAGTTTTTTTGCTGAAATCAAGCAAGGCTGGGTAGTGTTACAATTTGATAGTGGGGAAAAGATTTGAAACAACAGAGAGTGTCAGGAGCTAATACACCTATCAAATCTATGTGTGCTGGATTTTACATGTATTAGGTTTCTAATGAAAATCTAGGCATTAATCATAGCAGGTCTGAACTAAAATGACAAAGTAGTGCACACACTATTGAAAGGTTCTTGCTGGCACAGGTACACAATAATTCAACACAGAGGAGATGGTGTAAATAATCAAGAATAACACATTGCAGCACTCTTTAGCTTGGGTGAGAATACTGGTTAAGGCACCAGGCTAGAAACCAGGAGATTGTGAGTTCTAGTCCCACCTTACGCATGCAAGCTAACTGATGACTTTGAGCCAGTCCCTCCCTCTTAGCCCAACTCACCTGTTGTGGGAATAAAAGGAGGAGGAGGAGGGAGTAGTAATTGGTATGTCTGCCAGCTTATTTATATATATAAAAAATAAAGGCATGATTAAAATAAATATATATTTTTAAATATAATCTTATTGAAATGTCTCCTTCACAAAAGGAGCCTTGGCACATCAAACCAGCAACACACAGATGTGGAAATCAGCTGATTACTGTCAATGGGCAAACTCTTCACATGATGAACAATAAGTCAGAAGAGACAGCTGAGTTGATTCCACAGTAACAGCTCTTCAAGCTCTTCACCAATTGCCTAAAAAGCAAAAATAGAATCTGTTCTGTGCGGATGCATATGTGTTGTTTATCTTTGGCCCTCTGCAGCCTTTGGGGGGGGGGGAACCCTGAAAGTAATTTTTTAGAGGTATCCTCAGGGGTTAGGTCATAGTTGCCATCTTGACTTTTTTTGAACCCCCCCCCCTTTCTGCTTTACACTCAAAAGATTATCACACAATGTGTCTTCAGCGTGATTTTCATTTACTTGACTTTCAATCACACCTAACTATAATTTTTTTTTAAAAAAAATGAATACTATGTATGGTTAGAATTATACAGTGACATAAGAAGTGGAAAAAAGTTTGACAAGCAGTTCTTGTTTCCATATCAAGTCATGGAAGATGTTTTGCTGGTCTATTCTTAAAAGTGATGAATCCTCTTAAGCTCTCTTCTCAGCATCCTTGAGCCAGCAAAAAAAGGCGATAAAGCCTCAAAACTGTAAAGACCTTCAGGCTGACTCAGTTAAGGGAATGCCAATTTAATTTAGGGACCTCAAAGGATGTTATTAAGTCTATCTCAGCTTTGGGCTGAGGGTGTAAAAGTCATTAGTGGCATTTCCTATACAGATGTCAGAATTTTGTGTCACCAAAATGCCGTTCTCAGGACCCTGAAGTACAACAGCAGAATGGCTGGTGAAGATGACAGAAATAGCAGAGATGGCAAAATCAATTTAGAGAAAGGACAATAACTACATACAGTGACTGGCAACCCCTTAAATGCTTTTTGCTAAAAAAAAAAATGAACTCATGATTTATGGAGTTGATTAAAAATGATACATTATGGAAAGAAATTATGTATCTTTAGAGAGAGTGGATAAAATATAAATATACTTGGAACTGATGTTAAGAGGATCAGAATCTACTTCTTTATAACCTTTCCCTTTTCTCTTGCTTTCTTTGGATTTTTTATTCATTTGCAACTTTTTTTTACTTTCCTTACTTTTCACTTTCAAAAGTTATATCGCTTTTACTCTTTTAACAATTTCTTTAATAAACATTAAGATTCTAAGTGCCTTTCTCCACTGCTCAATAGCACAGTGCTTAAACCAGTATGACATTTGTTGCCCCTGTTGAAAGAATAAGGAGACAAGGGAGAAAATTAGTTGGCAGGAAATGTCTCTGTCATGGGTAGCTGCCAGTGACAGTGACATATGCATTCATTTAACCACAATTCACTTAATTTGCCTAGCTAGATATTGTCATCACATGGTAAATTCTAAACTAATCATATTGTGTTGATTTGTGAATAAGGTGAACGCTCACCAAGTTAGATGAGTTTTTAATATCTCACTTCCCATAACAAGTTTCTAAATTAATGACTCTCTCCAGGACTACCTTACAAATTCACCAGATCTTAAAAGAGATCTTAAAAACTAATTTGAGATTCATGCAGGCACTAAGGTCATTCAAAGATACTGCTCTAATCGTGCCATAAATCCGCCACGCTTCTGGAAGAAAGATTTATCTCGCTCAGGTTCAATTTGATGCACTCCAGACATGTTTTCTGTCTTCATAAGCACCGCTGAGTCCTTGAAATCGTTCAGCGCAGATTCCTCCCTTCAATTCTTTATCTCACTTTAATATTTAAGTGCATTTTTATTTTGGCTTCCCCGAAACAACGAGATCTATCAAAGGGGGTGGGGGGGGGGTGAGGAAATAGCACTGGTCTCGTTTCCTTAATCACTCGGTAATCGTTGTTGATAAATTTCCTCCCTTCTCTTCCTGATAAATGAGCCTAATGGGGGGAGGGGCTCATTCGTCAACGTGAGAAGGGGCGGGAGGAAGTTGCAACACATTCCCTAAAAATTAGGAGAAAAGAGGCGTCATACATTTATTAGCAACTTCAGGATTTAAGGTTCAGTTTACTTTTAAGTGCATAATTTAAGAGGAGGGGTATTCGTTAGCGTATGTTTGGCAATCCACGGCTTTTCTTCTCCGATTGCAGATGGAGAATTGGACGCGCTCCCTAAGGAAGAGGCGGGGAGGGGGCGTGTCTTCTCCATAAAAGGAGAGAGAGAGAGAGAGAGAGAGAGAGAGAGAGAGATCGGAGGTGGGGGGAGCGAGGCGAGGCAGAAGGGAAGGGGGCGTAAAAAAAACCTTCGGTCAGCAAAAGTTGGGAGGCGTGTGTAGAAGGAAGGAAGTTATTTGAAACCTGTATCACCAAAACCGGTTTATCCCGCGCCTTCTTTCATGGACAGATTTATTTTTTACTGTAGTCAATGACAGGGCATACATGCAAATCTTATATATTAAGTAGGCAAGCGTCTCGAACCAACTTCTGGGCGTCTTATATACAGTGCGTAGTGCCTAAATTGGTTCATGTGCAAAGAAGGAAATAATCGCGGCAAATAACTGGGGGATTTGGGTTAGGTGGCGGTTTGGTTCAGCTGAGGAGGTAGGGGTGGGGATCAGCGCGGAACAATACAGGAAAGCATGTCTGAAGGCTTCTGTTTGATCTATGATCAAAGAGAATATATTTCTATTTCCAAAATCATCTGATAGGAGAACTTTGAACCATGTTCAAGTTATACCTCTTCATGGTTCACGGTCTTGTCGTGGTGAAGGGGCTTGCGCAGCTCCAAAATGCTTACTAAAAATTAAATTGTACTGCATCCATTAAGACTTGCTCACAAGTCAATTGGTTACGTTTCAAGTTTCCTAGATCAGTAAATCATAGAGTAACGGTCTTCCTGAGGCGGCAGCCAGGATTGTGACTTAAGTATGGAAAGGTGCAAGGAATATTTAAAAAATATATGTCAGTAAGGGAGATAAGATTTGTTTGAATATTGATATTTGGATCTTCACTCATTTGTAGCTGACTTGAAAGAAGATGTGTGTGTGTATGTGTGTGTGTGAATGTAACCCAACCAATCAAAATGGCAGATTCTATAAAATGCAACATCTTCTTTCCCTCCATCCCATCTTTTATCTTCTCAAGCTAACGAGAATGCTAATTAGTTCCCTGCACACAAAAAAGCCCATAGCGGTTGGCAATAATTCTGTAAAACTATGCCAGGAAATCTGCTATTTTATGGGCTTATTGTGTATTTTAGAGCAGG